TGCAGCGCAGAGGCAGCCTCGGGGGCTACGTCGCAGCTGAAGTCCTTGGCCGAGCAGGGTTTAGGGTTTACCTATAGTCTCCATTGTAGTTCCCTTTTTTTGGTTTAACCAAATCTATATTAAGGATCCTAAAGGGTAACCCAAAAAGGAACTACAATGGAGACTATAGGTAGGGTTTAGGGATAGAGGCCGGAATAATTGGTAATACTATTCCTGAGGGTTCTTTATTATAAGAACATACCTAGACTCCAAGACCCTATTCTAATTAATGCTGAGTTCTCGCGCTTCATGTTGGGTGCAGGATGTCAACTGGCTCAGGCCATATTACTGTAAACAGTAGCAGCAGCCTTCCTAAACTTCCAAAACACGCCGACACCACGACCCAAGCTCCAAAAGGCATGTGGCTTAGTGTTGCAGATTGACAGCGGTAGAGTTTTTAAGACTGGCTCCCTGAACTTACCCTAAAGCTAAACCCTAAACCCTGACTTGAGGTCCTTCGCGCGGAAGTCGCAGAAAGTCTTCAGCAAGGTCCGTCCTCCTTCAGTCCCCGCCTGAGACTCACGGTTTTGGGTTTAGGGTTTGGGTCATGGAGCTCACATGCGCCGGTCCTACCGGGGCTTGCTGATGGATTTGATCAGGCTTTCTAAGGATTCCTTATGATAACTCTGTATATCTACTGTAGGGGCCTTGATAATTAGAATAGGGTTTTGGGTTTTGGGCTCCTTAAAGCGAAAAGAATAAGGGACCCTCAGGAGTAGTATTGGTGAGTATTGAGGCTCCTATATTGCACTACTCGTCTTTGTACCCTACCGAAATTAAGCCTGTTCCACTTTATTCAGGCCGCCTTCAGTAGCTATGGTTTAGAGTTTAGGATCTAGAGTTTAGGGTTTAGGGAACCCTAAACCCCAAACCCTAAACCCTAAACCTAAACCCTAAACCCTAAACCGTGGCATTCCCGAAGCCACGACTCCCCCCAGAAAGTGCGCTCCGAGAGCCTCGCACGCAAGTAGAAGAACATGCCCAGAGAGCGAGAGCTTCTATAAGCTAGATGGGGCTGAAGTTATAAACAGGCCCTGGGGTGTAGAGTAGTATGAACAGAATATAAGGCTTCTATCACAAATATATATATATAATATAGGGCCTACTTAAAAGTTGAAGGTATATGATCTTTCTTGGGCTCTCCTGGTGTGACCGCGATCCCGAGGTATCCTTGGGCCTACACCGAGGTGCGGGCCTGATCGCATGGAAATCCTAAACCGAAAGCCCAAGTAGTAGGAAGAGTCGAGGCGTTCTGGCTGCGCGTGTCAGGGGTTCAGGGCAGTAGTGCGGAGCCAGAATGTATGAAGTGCCCGTAGGTAGTGTCAGTGGCGGTTCTCGTCGTCATCGCCGTAGCAAGTGTTGGGGGAGGTGACCGTCGTCAGTGTTTGCGAAGTGTGCCCTTGCTGCGGCGATTCTACGGCATCTCAACGAAACACAGGAGCCAATCGTGTGTCCCTACTGTTTGCCACACAGCTTTCGCTTCGCACACGTCCGGTCATGTTCAGACTACTGCGCCAGCGATGAAACGCCAAACCTGTTTCATGGTGCAGTTGCTGTGCCGCAAAACGCTAGACCCGATTCGTAGACGAAGCAGAGCGGCTTGTGACACCTGCTACATGATTTGACCGGAAGAGCTATGTGGCTACAAGTACCTGTTTCCTTCGCGGTGCTTGATCATCGCCCCCATGGCACGGACACAAGGCTTACAGGAGGCGCTCTCCTGCTTGACTCCGTCGCCGCCGGCTGGGCCTCCAGATTTGCGTCACCACACTGTGACGCTACACATCTATGATCTTCACCGACTAGTTCGTGGCGTGAACACCTTCATCAAGGGCATCCCGGGCATTTACCACACAGGACTTGAAGTGCATGGTCTCGAGTTCAGTTTTTCAAGCAGCGGCATTGTTGAATACTGCCCTCGAGGATTCGCAGGCCACCTATACAGGGAGTCTATGACCTTGGGAGCCACTTCTTTTTCGCAGGATGAGTTGAACCTGCTCTTGCAACGCTTCGGTTCAACATGGGTGGCTTCCGAGCACCACTGGATCCGGCGCAATTGCAGCGACTTCTCTGAGGCCTTCTGCGTGGCTCTGGGCGTTGCGCGGCCTCCTCGGAATTCACAGTTCTGCGCCTGCCTACCAGCGAAGGAGGCGTCACGCAACGCAGACCTGAAACGTGCCATCGCGGCTCGCGATTTCGTTGAAGGTCTGCGCGAGACTGGAGCAACGAGCCAGGAGGATTCCAGCCCGGTGAGCACCACACTGCCATCATTGCTTTGCAGCCCGCAGGCTGGAGAACACAAGGAAGTGGGCAACTCGTTCTGTTCGAGTTCCGGCCGGAATGACGCAAGCCCGCCGGCAGTGAGAAGCTTGCGGGTTGCAACGCGGGTGCTGCTGCCGCTGGGCTGCTTGCAGCGGTCGCAAGATTTCGATTGCGAGCAGCAGGCTGGGGCAGAGGAGATTGGAGATTTGACCAGGCTGCAAAGCCACTCAAACGCTCCGCGGACGACGTCAACAGCATCCATCGACAGCGTCGGCAGTGAAAGCTCCGAATCACATCCTTTGGCGCAGCTGAAGGAGGGCAAGCGACGAGGTCGGTCGCCCACTGTGCGGCTGTGTCGCAACAGCGACTGGGAGGTAATGCGGGCTGCGGCACGCATGCGCACGCAGATGAAAGCTGCGGGTGTCTACTTCCGCAAGAAGAAGAAGGAGGATGTGCCCTGGCCGGGCAGCCAGGACACGCGCTGGATGGACGCTTGTGGCTCTTCCATGTGAGATGAACGGGGCCAGATTCTATAAACGTCCAACACACGTGTGATGCCCCACACCTTCTTGCAGGCCTTGAAGGTGTTGTTCGTACTCGACTGGGGGTCACACGTGTAAGCCAATGTTTTTGCACGCGAGACCTTGAGACCTCATGTCATTTTGCACGTCCGAGATGTGCGTGAGAGCATAAACCATCCTAAACCCTTGCCCAGGTAGTATTAGGGAGACCCATGAAAGGGGACCCGTCTTAACCTTATTTATGGCTCTCTTACTTAAGGACCTTATTGAGAGGTCTATCTCCCCAAATTTCCCCCTATTCCTAAGTCCCACCCTTGCAGACATGGTGCTGGCAACCCCTGGGTTTCTGCTACGCAAAACCAGTCTTTCTCAAGACTGCCTGCTAAGCTACTCTGCTTCCAGGAGCTTGATTCCAAGTGCCAAGGTCTTGCCTCAAGTATTCTGAAGTCAGTGGTTGCAAACTCTGTGATGTGATGCCTGATTTATGGCGCAGTGGCTGTGCCGCAAAACGCGTGGAGGCTTGGTAGGTCCCCCTAAACCCTAAACTCTCAGCCCTAGGCTTTCTTCGGCAAGTCCGCTGCGAAACTCGTCTCATTTGCACGAGTTAAGTTCTAGCCGGGTTAAGGGCTTTAGGGTTTAGGGTTAGCCCACACCAAGGAGAAAATGAAAGGAAACGCTTGCGCGCACGTTTTCTTTGTTTTCTCTCACAGGCGAATAACCGAAAGATTTTCATATCAACTCCCCGACACTGCACCCCTACACCCGAGAACCCAAAGCCTAAACCCCTGAGGGCACATGGACATTGTCGTACCGTTTCTCCTTAAAAGAGCACCCCATGTGCGTAGGCCCCGGCAAGGACGCCGGTAACACGTCGAAGGCAGGAGCGGGTGCATGATTTAGATCAGCCTGTCCTTATTAATGACGTAGGGTTTGGGGCTTATTTGCTTAAATGGGGGATGGTTCGAGGAGGAGGTGCTAGGCATCTTAGGGACCTTAGGGAGTACTGGTGCTGCTGCTGTTGTGTTTTTTTGGTTTGCAGCACGTTTTCAGCTTATTCCGTTGTTGGTTGCATGCATGTTGTATATTTTTACTGACTTGTACAATGTGTGAATATATATATATATATATACATACACATGTGTCTATATATATATATATATACATATACACACACTATATAGACACCTGCATTTAGGTATACATTATGAATCCCGTCTCTCTGTCTGGTTAAACATGCACACATGTTAGTCGCAAAGTCTCTTTGAGATCATCAAGGTACAGCATCAGTGTCTTCGGTGATGCTTCCTATCAGTGTTGTTGCCTCTGTTGTGAGTTTTGACTTATGGTAGCAAGATACTGCTTGCATGGTCACAATTCTTCGAGCTATTCTTGTGATTTTAGATGATGTGATACCATAGTTGCGAAAATCTTGGAGCTAGAAGGCTTCAAATCTGTGTCATGACCATAGGTTTAGGGTTGCCAGTTCGTCACCTGGGTTTGGCCACCCCGCATCTGAAGTCGAGGTGCTTCGGCTAGAGCGGTGTGCAAAAACTACCACGGGAAGTAGAAGACGTATCATCGCCGTTGTGGTATTGACGGACTTACTCTGTGTCACTACATGGGGTCCTTTGCTACAAGTGCACAGCATGTCAGGCTCCAGGAGACCAGATTCGGTCAGTTGGAGCCAGGTGCACAGAGATGCATGGCTCTCCCAGAGAGCCCAATACCCCTTAATTAAGGAATCTACCTTAAATCATATTATTCAGGCCCCTATAATTTAAGGTATATTCCTTGATTAAGGGGTATTGGGTTCTTTGGGCATGACAAAATCGCAGCACCAGAGTGAGGAACAAAGGACCTGCTTTGAATGCCTGTCGAAGGAGCCAGAAGCAAAAGCCCCCCCCGAATTCTTGGAAGCTTCCTGAGGCGACGCCAGCCGCCCCGCCGGAACCCTGCAAGGAGCTGATGCCTGCAAAAGCTGCCACAGTCTTGACATGCCTGAGGCCTCATGCTGGTGTTTCACTGATTCATGAGGCCTTCCTTCATCATACCCATCATCAGCAGCAGCAGCAGCATCATCATCATCACGCGCTCGGTTTACCCAGGGGTCTTCCGCAGCCCTTTGGCTTTTGCAGCTTATTGAACCGAGAATCGTGAGCGAACTCCCCACCTGCCGACATGATCTTCGCCAGGTTGACATGCGCAGTCGCGCTTGCACTTGGAGCTGCAGCTGAGACTGACAGCCAGTGTGCGATGCAGCTTGGCACGAAGGCAGCTGGCAAGTCGAGTGCCGGCGTCTCGGTGGCCGCCAGCACCGAGATGTGGACTTTCGAGGACATCTTCGGCCACAAGGATGCGACTGCCCCCGCCTATGGCCAGGCAGAGGTGCAGGAGGCGCCTAAGCCTGCAGTCGCGTTGGCGGAGACAGATACCAAGCCTGTTGCAGCCCTTGACGCAACCGAGAAGGCTTCCACGGCTCATGCCGCCGAGACGGCGAAGCCTGGCAACAAGGCGAAGGAGTCCAAGGCAGTGGCTCATGCCGGTGCCTCGAAAGGCAAGGGCTCGGCGAACCAGACGGACTACGTGGTGGCTATGATCGAGAGCTTTCTGAAGAAGCCCCTTCCCCCGAAGAACGCGGACGTGTCTGAGACACGGCCCCTGGTGTTCATGCATCAGCATCGGGCTGGAGGCACTACCATGCGAAAGCTGTTGTACAACACGTCGCTTGCCCTGAAGATGAAGCCTCACATCCAGTGCTCCGGAAAAGTGGACTGCCGAGCATTCAAGAACACGGTCACCGATGCGGCAGTCTATGGCGGCGAGTTTTGCTGGCGGGAGATGATGACGTCGCTGTCCGGCAAGCAGGTCTCATGCTTGACTAACTTCCGCGAGCCCGTGGCACGCATCACATCGTGCTACGCACAGCGGCTGGTCCTGAAGAAGAAGGTGGCACCTTTCTGCATGGCCAAGTTGGACCCGCAGAAGCTCAAGACCCTTCTTGTGAACTACGGCTGCGTGAACGAGCCTTTCCGCCGGCTGGGTCAGTGCGGTGTGCAGACGCATGCGGATGCCACCGACAAGAAGGCGCGGATGCAGATTTGGAACAGCACACTGCGCAACCTTGCGGCTTGCGTGCCGGTCTTGGTCGACAAGCAGGACACCTACTCGGCCGCTGTGAAGCACTTCCCACAGTTCAAGCAGGCTTTCTGGCAGATGAAGAAGGAAAGGATGAACACGAACTCCTATCCCAAGGACTGCCAGATCCCCGGCACGCACGTGGCCGTGATCCAGGAGTTGGCAGCGCAGGAGACGCTCCTCTACGAGGCTGCGAGGAAGCGAGCTCTCGCCATCCACGCGCATGACTCGAGCTAGGCGGCCGCACTCACATTGAGTGCATGCCCATCTAGTGTGGAACTTTAGCAGAGCTGCACTTTAGCTGCAAGCAGCCAAAGTTGTTAATGCTGTCGGTGCCGATGGTGAAGCCATGCGGCACAGGCAGAAAATGCGGGCCTCAAGTCCAACGCTCGCAATCTGCGAGGTCTGGATTTGGGCGCTCTTCCCGCCGCAACTCGTTTGTGCCTGCCGCTACCAAAGCGGATGGTGTAGCAGGCTTTTTGAACACAGCGGGAATATGCCATCATTGCAAAACGGATATAACACGATGCTCCAGGCCTGCTTTAGAGCAACGGATGTAGATGCGTAGACAGAGGTAGACAGAGTACGTCTCGTGTCCGAATCTTCAGGAGGTTGGACGCCAGTCAAGGGCATCTTCGGTGCCGACACGCCCCTCCAGAAGATTCAGCCGCTTGGCTTGATTGGCACCTTTGCTCCGGACTGCAGATGTCTTGACTTGGCTGTTTGTAGCAATCACATTTGGATTTTGGATTTTAAATGCTCACACACACACACTCTCTCTCTCTCTCTCTCTGTCGGTACTGTAAATAGTATGTGTGTATCTATAATCATATACACACATACATACTCCATACTCACATAGATACAGATATACATACATACATCCATGCATGCCTGCGTGCATAAATACATACATACGTGTGTGTATGTTTATGTGTATATGTGTGTATGTGTATGTGTATGTATGTGTATGTAACAATGTATGTATATAGATGTATGTATATGGATATGTATGTACATGGTATATGTATATGCGCATGAATATGCATATGTGTATATATATATATGTATATATATATGGATATATGTGTGTATATATATATATCCATATATGCATGTAACATATATACATATGTAGATGTAGACGTGGATGGATGGATTGCTGGATGGATGGATGTCTACATATACACTATGTTCCGTGTTCGTGCTCGCAAGTGTCTGTGGGTGTGTCTCTCTCTCTCTCTCTCTCTCTGTGCGTGTGTGTAAAGTCTGAAGCCCTGCACCCTGAAATGTAAGAAGTCCGGGCCAGGCTGAGGCCCAGCTTTTTGCCTAAATCCCGATCCCAAGGGTCTGAACCTTCAAACCCACTCTCTGCCTTGGATCTGAAAAGCCGAAAAGGGGAGATACTGTTGATGATATAAATCCTGCATTACCTTAAGGACCCCAAAACTATGGGAATTGTGGTATACTCCTTATTGCGGGTACTGCAGGATTTATATCATCAGCCGTAGGACACGTGATGTCTCCTAGCTCCTGAGGTCGGCGAGATGGGCCTGTGGCCTTTGTGGAGGCCTCTGCGAAGGGGCCAGTGTGGCTTTCGTTCGAAACCATTCTCTTTCGGGTGTTCGAGGGGGCTGGGTTTAGGGTTTAAGGTTTCGGGTTTGGGGCCTCTAGGGCCTCACAGGGTTTGGGTTTAGGGTTTAGGGAAATGCTAGGCCGCTAGACGCGAGGGCTGAGGGTCTAGATGAGGGCCGAGGGCACAGTCTAGCCCGGTCTCAATGCGGCGATGATCACCACTTGTCAGTGTGTAGTTGTAGAGGTCGGCAAAAACCGGTAACAGTCTCTCCTAGTATCCCCCTTTTCAACAGTCCCTAGGCTGGCTCTGAGTTAAACTCCTCAGCCCCAGAAGCTTCCCTAAAAAGCCCTAAACCCCTAAACTGTGTGCAGGAGATGAGGTCGTATTGATGGTTTAGGTTTCTTTAAAAAAAGCTAGGTCGTACTTTATGGTTTGGGTTAAAAAAGCCCTCGTATGTAGGAGTTTAGGTATCATTTTAGAGTTGAGGCGTTTAGGGCCTAGAGATTCTAAACCCTAAACCCCTATAAACCCTAAATCCCAAAACCCCAAACCCTGAACCCTAAACCCCTAAATTAAACCCCAAACCCTAAACCCTAAACTGAGCAGGTTCCCGAAGCCGCTCCGGTGGAGCCTTTCTCCCCACCTCCAAGGAGGCCTGGCAACTTCGCGAGCTCCACGCGGCGTTTCTGTTGAGGGTGAGGGGTTAGGGGTTTAGGGGTTTAGGGATTTAGGGTTTAGGGGTTTAGGGTTTAGGGTTTGGAGGGTTTATGGTTCAGGGATTACGAATTAGTGGGTCAAGGTTTGGGGTTGTTTCGGTTTAGGGGTTTGGATTTGGCTCTGAAGGCTTGTGTAAGGATCATTCTAAAGGCTTCGGTTTGGGGGTCTTTTGGGGGGGGTTTCCACTGCTTTCTGGGACGGAAAGCTTCGCCATGTATTCCTAAACACGAGAACCCATAACCCCGCCCCAAGCACCTAAACCCTAAGACCAACAGCCATAACCTGAAACCCAAACCCTAAACCCCTGAAGCCCTAAACCCTAAACCCCTTGGAAACCTTTCACGTTTTTTGCGGTACAAAAATCCCCTATATGGGTGGTTTTCTAAGTTAGGGCCCCTTTTCAGGTCCCCAATATAGTACGCCACCCTTATGAAAAGGACCCTAAAAGGGACCCTAATTCAGAGAACTACCCAAACACTAAAACCCTAAAATCCATAAAAACCCTAAAAACCCTAAAAACCCCTAAACACCCTAAAAACCCTAAACACCCATATAGGCACAACAGACTCCCAAAGGTTAACCTTCAGTTCTCCAGGCCCTGGACGAGTAACCCGCGAAAGCCACCGTTACCCTACACTCTAAACCTTAAACCCTAACCCGAAACCCAAAGCCCTAAACCCTAACCCGAAACCCGAAACCCGAAACCCTAAACTCGAAACCCTATAAACCCTATAAACCCTATAAACCCTATAAACCCTCAACCCTAAACGCTAAACTTGAGAGACAGGCCGGGTGCGAGAGAAAGGCCCAACGCATTAAAACAAACCCAATCCCTAAACCCTAAACCCCTAAACCCTAAACCCCAAATCCTAAACCCCAAACCTTAAACCCGAAACCCTAAACCCCTATAAACCCTAATCCCTAAACCCCAAACCTTAAACCCGAAACCCTAAA